GGTCAGTAAGTGATTCTCCTAGTGATTCAGCTCTTCCATGCCTTCCCCCGAAACAGCGCAACCAGGTACTACGCTTTCGTGGCTGAAAAGCAGGTGCAGACTCGTACCCGCAGCTTGGCGATTTGGCAAAGATGATGCCAACGAAGATGAGGAGATGAAGTCATTATATGATTTTTATCGGGATTTCAATGGATTTCATAGGGAAATGGAATATTTAGATGGGGATTTTTAATGGGTTTTTGCGGCTGGGGGGAAATGGGATATTTAGATGGGATACTTAAGGATGGATATCGGATGTGAATTGGAACAACTCCTAAGACAAAGTTGAAAATGGTTGTTTCGGCAAACACGAGGGATACTGGGAGAGGAGCAAAGCGCGGATGAAATGGGATGTCGTCGCATGCATAACCAGCATTAACCAGCAATATGAATGATTGGTGTTTCTCAAGATCAAAATGCATAGTTTTACGATCATCAAATCATTGGGAAAGTGATGGTAAGCCATCAAATTTACAGGCACCTTCTATATAGACACACCCATTTAGAGGATTCTTAGGGAGAGAAAGAGCAAAAAATGGGCCGCAACTCGGTTTTTGCAATTTTGCTGATCGATTATAGGGATTACCCACCAAGAAAACGATTGGCAACAAAAACAGGTAATTACTCCTCAATGAAACTACCAGGGGCCAATATTCATCCTGGGGTTATGTCAGCCAACATTGAAATGTATTGTTGGAGTGTTTTAGATGCTTAACCCCGATAATATTCACAACTGCAGTATATTACATGTGCACCAGTATATATCTAGATATCAGGCATCTTAAATAAATATAATATGATATAATGATATATGAGAACTATTGCATATATATACATATATATATATACATATGCATGTATGTATGTATGTACGTCAACACTCAGGTCTTGTCTTGAAACAGCACCACACACTGTGTAGCGAGAGCCCCCCTTTTAAAGTGATACCTATAATTTTGCAGAATGTCCAGATCTTTATTTTTTTTTTTCACAAAGTTACGTACATGAGAACAAATCAACGATACCCTTCGCTCCAGCGATTTTTTAAGCGATGCTCATTTGTTTAAAAAGTAGCCCTAGACCCAGACGACCCTTTCTGCTTTTCCTTCCTGTTCCTTTCCTCTTCCGTTTGTTTTGCTGTTCTCTTCTGTTCCTCTTCTTTTCCTCACGCAGATTTGTTCCTCTGCCTTTATAAGTACACAAGCATGTGTAGCGATAGGTCCCGCCAAAAGTGATAGACACCTTTTTGGGAGCAAGGCGAAGACAACGAGCTTCGCCAACGGCTCATATGTATATGTATATGTTACATACTACACATCATTGGTTCATAATGATTATAGTTATATATAAAATATATATTACATATATTACATATAACTGGTCATTACATACATATCATACAAGGTGGTGCCCCCCGCAGTTATAAATTGGTTATAATCCCATTAACTAGTTTGATATCTCACCTATAAACCATAGTGAAATTGGACTTATAAACCAACTTAGCAAACGAACTGGGGCACCACCTTGTACTCGTAGTGTTGATGAGTGTTAAGTCCAAACTATGTTTATTGATATTTCATATAGTGTTATACCACAACTGGTTATTCATATTCATTTTAATACTTATAACACTATTGATATTCATTAATGCCACTTATAACTGGTTATTTCATCAATCCATCTATTCATGTTATTAGTAGCGATTATATATCACTATTACTATTACTATATATTGCGCTATATTACAGTGTACATATATATATATATGTATTAAACATACACTATTATATACATCATCATCATATATATATACACTTACTATAATACACTAAATCTATATTATATACTATATTTATATATAGCTATGTTACATATCATATCGTGTTCAGTGTTCAGTTTTAGGCCGAATGGTGGAAGAGGCCACCGTGGCGGACGATCAGAAAGTGCAAGTGCCCACACGCAGGCGCTGAACCACGGGCTTCGCGAAGGACACCAGCCAAGGGTTGAGGATTTATAGCCAATCTATGGAGGTTATAGGGGTTTTTATAGCGGTTTTATGGGTTTTTAATAGGGTTAAGATATAGAGTTGATGGCTGGTTAACAAAAGTTTTAATAGGCTTGAATGCGAGTTTATAGAGGTTTTATGGATTTTAATAGGGTTATATAACATATAGAGTTTATTGGGGTTTCATGGGTGTATATAATGCGGGTTTTTCATAGAAGATCGATGCTTTCCTCAAAATATCTCGTGATTCTTTGGCACATTTTGGCAGACAATCCGCCAAGATGGGAATCTTTTCAGGTTGATGGAGAATAAATAGCATAGACCCCTCACTGGAATCATGGTTTATTTTAGGGAAATCATCCCCAAATGGCCGCAAGATTCAGGTTAGTGAAATATGATCATTTACCCAGAATATTGGATGCTTTGCTACTGAAATCATGTGCTGAATGTGCTGGGCTGACCCTCGTCACTTAACTCTTGCTATCGTGGAGAATCATTAGCACCGTCCTGTTACATGTTTAAGGAACGGCACCACTTAATGCTTTTGACTTTTGACTTGTAACATGCTTCCTGTGTAGTATGTAGTTCCAGAGTATGTAGTCCCAAGTTTGACTCCTCCAGAGATATCCCATCATATATGAGAATCGAATCATAACTCTGGCGGCAAGTAAAGCAATCTGGGTGTGTTTGAACACTGTGGATACCCCAAAATGGCAATTTAAATAGGGAATACCCTCTGGTTATTTAACATAGCCATGGAAAATGGCGCATTTATGGATGGTTTACCTATTCAAAATTGTGATTTTCCATAGTTTTTTGTATGTTTACCAGAGGGTAGTAATAGGGATAAATTATACTCAGTCATGGGACTTTAGGGTACCCTATTTTCAGAGAACTCCAGCTGTGAGGAGATGATGTCGAAAGCAAGAATTTTGGGGGAACGACCCATGGCTTTCCAGATGTTCCAAAGCAAATCAATCCTAACACATACGATGGGTACCCTTTGGTAAACTAACATAGCTATGGAAAATCACAATTTTTAATGGACAAATCAACTATAAATGGCCATTTTCAATAGCAAACTGTTGAATTACCAGAGGGTACGATGGGTAAGTCTCCGTAGCCCATTCTGTTTGGTCAAAATACCCAGATCCACCACGCACCATGCAGCGCATGCGTGGCGTGGCAGGTCGCGCATTCAGGGAACTCAGCTGCTACAGAACGCCATGCTGCAGCTCCTTGGGCAGTGCTATGACCTAAAACCATCTAAAACCCAGGGAAACACCGCGGGATCTCAGCCATTCTAAACCCCGGTTGGTTGATGATTAGTTCGTCATTTAACAGGGGTTTTAAGCATCAAAATATAGGTCCATAAGTAGATGTACATGATAAATGATAAATGGATATAACTGGTAATTCGGCAATTGTCAAAACATGGTCAACCATGGTGATTTAATGGGATTAACGAAACCAACAGATTTAGTGGGATATATAACCAACTAATATTGGATGAAATCCTTCAAAACCCCTGTTGGTTGATGATTTTTATTATATGGGATTGTACTACCCAATATATATCTTGGGGATTATCATAATCCCCATTCTTGGTCAAAACTTTGATTTTATTCCCACAAAATGGGATGCTCATCGGTCCATTCGTAGTATATACTCATTTATTCAGGATTCCCATGGCATGGGATGGATGACCATACAGCATATACCGTGTTATTTGACCCCAGCACATTTAAGGGGGCGTCCCAGTTGTAAGTTGGTCTATAAACCATTATAACTAATCATAACCCCCATTAACTATATAGTTAAATATACCTACCATAAACATAGTTAAGCCACTGATAAGGCAACTGAACGCTATCGACTGGGGCCCCCATCCTGTAGCACATTTAAGATGAGTTTGTTGTCCCGCGTTGAAAAAGAACTGCTCAAATTTACCAGGAAAACCATGACTGGTGGGTCACTGCTGTTGGTTTCCTCTTGGAGGAGCATTCCTCTTTTCATGCTGGTGCTTGGTAGTTGGGGTTAGTTCACTCACTCAATGGGTTGGTTCTCTACTCGGGGGACTGAAAAAAATCACCAGTTGGCTGCTCACCAGTCACTAATTTGGATGATCCTCCAAGCAAGGTATGTATCCTATACGGTTTTCGATACGATCGAGAAAGGTACGATCCACGGGACACGGCGGTTGTCGAAGGGAACGACAGTTTTGTCTTAGACTGTCATATCGCAAGAGTAAATGCCATGACAACATTGGCAGTATATTAATTGGAGTCATCCTCCAATCGCCAAATTTTGGTTTTGAGTATCTTTGAGTATCTTTGAGTTATTTTGGTCAGTGTGCCTTTGGGTTGTAGATGCATTGACTATGGTTCCAGCACCGGAATCTTATGGGATCTTGACATCTCTCTTAACGGACTAACCCACATGTCCACGGCACATGTCCACACTGTTTGTCATGGTACATGAATAAGATGAATAAGTATAATATTTACCGACACACACACACTACTTTTATAATACATATGATTACATATGTATGTCAAGTATATTCTATGAATCTATTGCACCTATATGTTAAACGTTGCATTGGTGCTTTGGGATTATTTCTCCAATCCATATAGTATTTAAAAAGGAACCATGATGTGCTAGGGATAGAAGTGGTCATTGTGCTTGGGATAGAAGTGGTCATTAGGAACCATGAGACCAACTGTGATGGATTAAGATTAAGAAGCGACTTATAGGCAAACTTACGGGTTCCATTAGATACTAAATTCCATCCTTGGTTGAAGGGACACTTTTCCATGAACCCTGATATTTGGCACTAAAACCCATGGCTTTTCTGTATATTTTCCCAGCAAAACCAACCTCCCATCATTTCAAACGCTGCTCCCATGCATTTTGTGCTCAAGCGGTCACCACCGCAACACGTCATGGACGCTGAGCCATGGTGAAATGCTATGTGTGTCGCTACGTCGAGGCATGGACGAAGGTTCTGAACATGAAAGGTGCTGCCACTTCTTTTGCAAAGTTGGTTGATAAGTAGCTTAGGGTTTCCGGTAATGTCGGCAAAACAATAATAACGCATCCCCCAAATCACCATAAATAGGTGGTATAAACCGTTTCCAAATGGATGGTTTATGGCATTGTTTTACCCACATTAGATGTAATTATTTTTGATTGTAAAGCAACCTATAACTGGGACGCCTTCTGTCTACATGCTTACCCCTTTCCGGTCTAGCAAATTAGATACCTCCTTACAACGCGGGGTTAGTATTGAATCTATACATGTCCGGTCTTATTGTCTGAACTGTGGGAGCCGAAGCAACGTGGTGCGAAACTGGTCCTTTTTTAGGTCTTTTCGGTGCCAAAAAAGTGCTTTTCTGCAGTGCTATTGAATGCCCCCCCCAGGTCTTGAACATGTTCAAATACAAGATCCAAGAAATCATTTATTTTTTGCAAACCCCATGGCCCATGGCCTGATCATTGCGCACAAAAAACACAGAGGGGACTCATCCAGATGATGGCAATCCCACAGGACCCACATTGACCTTGGATGAATCCTCCACAGGCATTTCACTTTTGACCGATTTGACCGGACATTTTTCACAGGCATCCTTGCAAATTTCATCAACTGATTTTACAACTCATATGAGTTGTGTAAATTCAAAAGAATTCAAAACATCTCTGGCATTCATCACTGCATTCATCACCAAAAAAACTAGAGTGATTGAAAGATATTGCCAGATACAGTGGTGATTTAACATCGAAAAACCTAAGATCTCTCGACCAGTGGTCCCTTTCGAATTCTTCCGCAAGGTGGAGAAGAAGCTCGGCGAGTGGAGATCCGCTTGCGACGCCTGGCCGAAGATTGTCAACGTCTCGCTAAACACAGCAGCCCTAAATTAGCTTAGGTGATTGTAGTCATTTAATATGGGTTATTAAGTATCAAATAGCTACAATCACCATTAATAAGTATCAAAAAGCTTCGGTTATATCAAGTTAATATCAAATATGGAGATACAAGTGGAATCAAGAATGAATCGAGTAAACATATAACTTGATAAATCCATTTCGGACATTTACCAGGACACATCTGAGTAGAACTGATGATGGTTGATGTTTGTTTTTGGTGTAATATATACTGCCCTTTATGTATTGGGATCACCATCATCATCATCTTCTTCTTCATCTTCATATCCATCATCTTCATCATCATCATCACCATCATCATCATCATAATCATCATCATCATCATCATCATCATCCATGAACTAGCAGAGGAGTTTTGAAGGCCGCTCATCTTTTCACTGGCGATCAGTGCAACACCTGGGATGAAAGATCTATCCAACCAGCTAGATCACAGTAGTCATTCCAACGTAATATCATGTACATTCATGTTGCATTCCCATGTTTTCTTGTTTGAAAAAGACAAAAAGATACACACATATACAAAAATGCACGTTTTATCCCTTGGTTTCCTCAAACATGACCAATCTGGGGAAGTTTGACCTTTCAACATCCTTTAAAGTGCTGCTTTCGGCATTGATTTTTTGCCACTTTTGGAGGATTTTAAGGTTCCCATTGGTTTGGAACCCTCCCATATGTTGCTTCGTTTCGGCCACGGTTTTCCCAGGATCGCTGCGCTGAGCTGCTGAAATCACCACCCTGCAAGGCATGTGGACAACCTGTGCCTGGTGACGACTGGGGATGACTGGGGACTGGAACTCTTCCGGAGATGTCGGAACGAAACCATGGGAAACTATGATAAGATATGGGGGTTTCACGGGGTGTACCCCAAAATGGACGGTTTATAAGGGAAAAACCTATATTAAGATTAAGATGGATGATTTAGGGGTACCCCCACATTTATGGAAACCCCAGTATGGGAAATCCTCGAACTAGCCATGGAAGTTTATAGTTGGGACAATCAAGGAACTAAACTAAATGGGTGATTTTCAATTGACATGAAAACATAGTTACATATATATATATATATATGGATACATTTCTTGGATTTGTTCCGTGCCATGCTGGATTACAAAACATAGTGGATTTATAATGGGTGGAGCATCGCAGATTTTTGTCGTGTCCCCGCCACATCAATGGTCTCACATCTTTCCATTTCTACTTGGAAAGGCTCAGGTTTTGAATAGCCACATCAGCATGGCGTCAATACACGTGTGAGTTGCCCGGGCAACCATTTCATACTCTGTCCACACTTACCCTCTGTTTATTTAACATAGCCATGGTATAGATGGCCCATAGAAATAGATGGTTTACCTATTAAAAACGGTGGATCTTTCCATGGCAAACTGTAACAAATAACCAGATGCTAATCCTATCATTTATCTGGATAAAGCACCCATTTTCCTGGGAATGGTCAAAAAATTCATGATAAATCCACCAGAATCGTATCACATTGACCCATGAAATCCCGTCGGAGAATATCTCACCGAACGTGGAACGTGCGCGCAAAATGAGGTGCGCGATGCGAAAAAGAACGAGACCAACCCGTGCCTTGCGTTGACCATCGAAGAAATGTATTTCACCAAGAAAAAAAGGGATGTACCTACAAAGAATGGTAATTTACTGACTTACCCAAGAAAAACATGAGGTTTTAACCAAGCGAAATGGGATGAAGTGGCGACTTAGTCATGAAAAATAGGATTAACCAACAAAAAGGGTGGTTTAATGGGGAAGCAATGAGATAGTGTGGATAAGTCTGGAGAAATTATGTGGCAACGTCACTGGAGCGATGTGAATGAACAAATTATCCCCCAGAAACCTGATTTCAGGTTAGTTTTCGTTCATATGATTTATCCAGATAGCACCAGGAATCCGTGCTTGGTAGGGGGTTCATCTGCTTGACCAAACCAAACCAAACCAACCCTTTTGGAATATGATGACCTTTGAAAGTCTCCGCTGATTTGGAAGATAGATAGATATGGGGGATCTTCATTAAACACGATGAAACATTAACATGACAAAACTTGTGGTTTGATAATGGTTTGGTCATGGTTTACATAAGTTTACCATTATGAAACCATAGATGTAGAAAATTGCCATGCAAAACTACCGTAGCGGGTTTTCTACATCTATGGCAATTTTGAGTGCTAGGCTCCTGTAAAAATTGCCATAGATGTAGAAAACTTGCCAGCAATGTAGATCATGTTCCCAACGGGACACCCTGGGCGTTTCCCGTACGTGCCGTATCTTGCCGTATGTAAAAACCCTACTCGTACCTGGAGGATCATCCCAAGTAGTAAGTGCTTAACAGCCAATGTATATAATATTATATAGTTGTTATGCACTTACTTTTTGGGACGATATATATATATATACATATACATATATATATATAGAGATAGACATAGTTAGTCTTAATGTTTTTTAAGATGGGATAACCTCAATGGAATGATCCCCCAAGGGTATGACCAACGTTTCTGGCAGCAGCCATTTCTGGCTCCTTTGGACGCTCGCAAGGTACCACGAGGAGTGCAGACGTTGCAGCTCTTGTGTCTCGCTCACATCGGCGTGCCACCGTGTAGGGTTTGCGAAAGAGATCAGGAAGTTTATTGGAGATATTGATACTGATATGATATAACCACTAAAAGGATTGGAATACTAGAAATAAGATGGGATTATACTAACCAACATATGTTAATGTGATAAGAATTGCATATTAGTCGATACATATACCCTCGTCATCAAACATGGCTGGGAAATCCACGTGGATGTTTACAGCCAGGAAAATCAACGAACAATTCGCCAGGTGATTTTCCAACAAGCCACGCCCAACGAATACCCGAGGAGACCATGATTCATGACCCCAAGGGCCGATCCAATGTCGTTTCAGGAACTATGACGCCGCACTAAGCCGCCTCAACTTCAGGGACATCGTTACAGAAAGTTCACCCGGCATTCGGGGCTAAAGAACCATGGCTTTCCTGTACCTGACACATAGTGGTCATATCCCATCAAAAATCCCCTAGCCATACGACCTCTATCCTGATCGCCAGATTCGAATTTCACCAAAATTTCACAAAGTTCACTTAAAGTTCACAGCCATGGTATTTCGCTGTTGTTCGTTCCTTTCGTTTTGTTTTTTTTGAGGCAACCAAAAGGTCAGCAAACTGGGCATGCACTGCACCGCGGGCAAGATCCTTTGTGGCTCCTGTGATGATCTCTTTGGAGAGTCGCATGGCCGAAACTGGCGAGTCTGTGGAGGGAAGCACGACACGGCACATTGATATATTGATAATCATACTATGATCATATTATGATCATTATATAGCTATGTACAACAAGAATAGTAATCTAGATAGTGATAGTTATTATTTTTATGATTTATGACATTTACGATTCTTTTGTATTGTATAATATTATATTATTATTATGATGATGATGATGTTGATGGGATCAAGGTGAGATTCCATCCGTTTTTTTTTAATGTTTTTTCGTGAGTGCACTAGCAGCCCAGGTTCTTTGTGCCCGGAAAGCGCATGGGTGCGGAGTACATGAAAGAGGCGTTCAAGGCAGAATCCAAGGGTGACCGTCACCCTTTGGTATGGCCTTTGATGGACTTTGTTTTCTTTGGGTGGATGCCTTGAAAAGGGGTAGTCTGGATGACATCAATTGTTGATTTACGGGGGCTTAATTTGAAATAGATGTTTTCACTTTCCATCGATATTTTTCAACTTCAATCTCGAGGTTTCCAGATCTTCCACGTTCCATCAAAGTTCGGAATATTTCGCTCCACCGAACTTTGCAAACGATTCTGGAACGGGTCGAACTGAAATTGTGAATTGTTTTCAATCTTCTTCCGATTCCGAATCTATTCTCTGGATTGAAACGTAACTTCTGTTTGTTGAGTGGTTAAAACTCCATGTTTTGCTTGGCCGGGCCGTTTCAGCCAGTTTCCCTTTTCCGACCAGGCCTGGGACGAAGACAACTCGGGGTGGATTGACACCGGCGAACTCCGCAGAGTTTTGAAGGTGACCGAGAGGGTTGGACGGTGCTGAGAAGTTGTGGACCAGAGAATTTCAGGAGTTCACCCAGCAAAATGGGAGTTTCGCCAGCAAAGTCTTGTGTCTATACCTAGTGTCTGGAAGACATGCTTGACCTAGTTCAAAGTGGGGATATCCGATTGCAATGTGTTTGCTCATTGGAAGAAGCCTGCGATATGAGAGGTAGACCAAAAGGAAGCTATGAAGGGTTGATGTCAAACCTCCATGCAGTTCCATGATTTTTCCAGTACCCTCTGGTAATTTAACATAGCTATTGAAAATGGCCATAGAAATAGTGAGTTTTCCCATAAAAAATGGTGATTTTCCATAGTTTTTTGTATGTTTACCAGGCCGGGTCGACACCCCTTGGGCGATTTCGCTTACCATGTTTGGTTACGAGGGATTGTTCATCACCGCCAGGCGATCATGCCAAACTTCTCAGATCGCCAGCGGCCAAAGCGGGAGATATGAGGGTGAGTGAGAAATGGGTATTTTAATGCTACGTTATCATATTATATATATATATGCACAGAAATATATGGTACTAGAATACTAGAATACTAGAATGTACAGAAATTGGTATTATATATTTTATTCTAGTACCATATATTTCTGTGCATATATATATATATATAGAGTAATGAACTATATAGTAGTTACTCAATGTTTTTCACATCCCAACTTGGGCGGAGCATTCTGAGATATACGATAGATCCATTATGCATCTAGGTATATATTATCAAAAGGCAAAGTTCGGTGAAATGAGTCCCAGCAGTCCCAGCACCATATGATTTCTAGACACCAATGATTTAAAAAGAGATCAACAACATATGATTTTTGCACCAAAAGACTCCATCAACAACGACCTCTTGCTGAGGTGACATCAACGACCTCTTGCGCGTCATTGACACGAACAGCAATGGGGTGGTGGAGTATGAGGAGTTCCTGGTCCATCCTTTGCTCCCAAAAGGTGGCTTAATTATGGCATCTAAAAAAACATCTTAGGTCCCTTGGTGAACCAGATGGTTTGTAGTGCATATAATATAGTTAGCATGAGGCAATCCCGTCTTTTTACAGACCGCACCCCCTACAATACAATAGATTTTAAAGCGGTCGAAACAAAAAGATGGGATTGCTTTACCTTATAGATAATAACATAATCAACAATAAAATCATAACAACAAAACAATACAAAACAAAACCAAAACAACCTAAACAATACAATAGACCATAAAACAGTCTATACCATAAATCATAACAACAAACCATACACTTAACCTCATTCATAAGCCCATTGTAAAGCCTATACCTATGAGATGGAACTTTAAGTTAAATTATGAAATAATTTATCTATAAAGCCACATCCCAGCAATGGTAAAGCCAATACATAAAATCAATTGAAAGGAACATTCAAACAGCACAGGCAATGGGTGATTGCTCAAAAAGTAATGGGTGATTGCTCAAAAAGTAATGGGTGATTGCTTAAAAAGTAATGGGTTATTGCTCAAAAAGTAATGGGTGATTGCTCAAAAAGTAATCAAATACCCCAGATTTGAACCTCAAATTTCCTATTAAAAATGAAAGGAATTCCCAGATTTGAGCCTGAAACCTCCCAGAATTCAGGCTCAATTTATCCAGCCCAGATTTTGAGAAAAACCAGCCCAGATTTTGACAAAAACCAGCCCAGATTTTGAGAAAAACCAGCCCAGATTTTGAGAAAAACCAGCCCAGATTTTGACAAAAACCAGCCCAGATTTTGAGAAAAACCAGCCCAGATTTTGAGAAAAACCAGGCCAGATTTTGAGAAAAACCAGCCCAGATTTTGACAAAAAACCAGCCCAGATTTTGACAAAAACCAGCCCAGATTTTGACAAAAACCAGCCCAGATTTTGACAAAAACCAGCCCAGATAATGGGAATATCCAGCCAGATAGCACCCTGTAGGGGAACAGTCAGGGCAACTGTAGGGGAACAGTCGGGGCTCAAAATGATTTAAAATCCCTCTTAACCACCCAATCTGTAGGGGGGACAGGGAGCGCCCTGTAGGGGGGACAGGGAGCACCCTGTAGGGGGGACAGGGAGCACCCTGTACAAGGGACAGTTTGGCTCAAAATGATTTAAAATCCCTCTTAACCACCCAATCTGTAGGGGGGACAGGGAGCACCCTGTAGGGGGGACAGGGAGCAGAAATATCCAGCCCAGATAATGGGAATATCCAGCCCAGATAATGGGAATATCCAGCCCAGATAATGGGACTCGTTCAGTTTGAGCTTGGAAGTTTGTGTCATTTTTTTAACATTTTCATGTTCTTCCGTAGCTGTTTTGGCAAGTGTTTCCTCAAACCACTCAGGGACGTTTTTTTCTAGTCTCAGGAGTGTCGGCATTTCATAGCATTTCCATGGCGCTCAAATCCGGTGTGTTCGTTTGCCTCATCCTTGCATCGAGCTTGAGCTGCACCGTCATGGCACACGCCACACCGGCCTCTGGTCCGAGAACGTCGGCAAGGACAGCGTGACTACGACTTCAGAGCCAGACCAAAACACGCTGAACGTCCAGATTGAGAAGCTGCAAGCATGGAATTTCAGCAAGTATGCCAGTTGCGCAGTGCGACAAAGACCTGCGAGCATGGGAGAGCTCCCAATCGGAGAGGAGGAGTATGTGGTGCTTGCAGAGCGGGCTCTGAAGATTTGGTACGCTGCGATTTTGGCGCAGCCCATGAAGAAACTCGACATTTCTATACATTTCTGGCAGTTTTGTCTTTTTTCCCGAGAGCGTCTGAGCGCAGGGTTCTTCCAATAGTGGGGGTCTGTATCTCACCTTCTCATCTTCACACCTTCTCATCTTCACATCTGCTCATCTTCACATCTGCTCATCTTCACATCTTCTCTCACATCTGCTCATCTTCACATCTGCTCATCTTCATATCTTCTCTCACATCTTCTCTCACATCTTCTCTCATCTGCTCATCTTTCTTCATATCTTCTCTCACATCTTCTCTCACATCTGCTCATCTTCACATCTGCTCATCTTCACATCTGCTCATCTTCACATTTGCTCATCTTCACATCTTCTCTCACATCTGCTCATCTTCACATCTGCTCATCTTCACATCTTCTCTCACATATTCTCTCACATCTTCTCTCACATCTGCTCATCTTCACATCTGCTCATCTTCACATCTGCTCATCTTCACACCTTCTCTCACATCTTCTCACCTTCACATCTTCTCTCCTTTCTCTCTCCTTTTTCTCTCTCTGGCCTTCTTTATCTTTCTCTCTTTAGGCCGAGGGTGGTACCGGCGGTGAGTCACGAAACGTCAACCCTTTCGCACGAAATGAGGGTCGATCGGCAAAAACTGTGGTAAAAATTGCGATTTGACTTGCCCCGGAGCAACCCTTTCGCACGAAATGAGGGTCGATCGGCAAAAACTGAGGTGAAATTGCGATTTTACTTGTGCCGGAGCAACCCTTTCGCACGAAATGAGGGTCGATCGGCAAAAACTGTGAGGTGAAATTGCGATTTGACTTGTCCTGGAGCAACCCTTTCGCACGAAATGAGGGTCGATCGGCAAAAACTGAGGTAAAATTGCGATTTTACTTGTCCTGGAGCAACCCTTTCGCACGAAATGAGGGTCGATCGGCAAAAACTGTGAGGTGAAATTGCGATTTTACTTGTGCCGGAGCAACCCTTTCGCACGAAATGAGGGTCGATCGGCAAAAACTGAGGTAAAATTGCGATTTGACTTGCCCCGGAGCAACCCTTTCGCACGAAGTGAGGGTCGATCGGCAAAAACTGAGGTGAAATTGCGATTTGACTTGCCCCGAAGCAACCCTTTCGCACGAAGTGAGGGTCGATCGGCAAAAACTGAGGTATAATTGCGATTTTTCGTGTGCTGGAGTAACTTTTTCGCACGCAAAGAGGTTTGTGTGTACGAGCGTTTCTGTGTAAAGATGTTTGTGTGTAAAAGTGTTTGTGTGTACAAGTGCATCTGTGTAAAAGTGTTGTGTGTAAAACCTTCTGTGTGTAAAAGTCTTTGTGTGTAAACGGGTTTGTGTGTACGAGTGTTTCTGTGTAAAGATGTTGGTGTGTACAAGTGATTGTATGTAAAATTGCATCTGTTTAAACGTGATTGTGTGTAAAAGCTTCTGTGTGTAAAAGGGTTTGTGTGTAAACGTGTTTGTGTGTCGGAGTGTTTCGGTGTAAAGATGTTTGTGTGTAAAAGTGTTTGTGTGTACAAGTGCATCTGTGTAAAAGCAATTGTGTGTCAAAGCTTTTGTGCGTAAAAGTGTCTCTGTGTAAAAGGGTTTGTGTGTAAGAGTGTTTCTGTGTAAAGATGTTTGTGTGTAAAAGTGTTTGCGTGTAGAAGTGCACCTGTGTAGAAGTGTCTGTGTGTAAAAGCTTTTGTGTGTAAAAGTGTCTGTGTGTAAAAGGGTTTGTGTCTTAAAGCGTCTCTGTGTAAAATGGTGTGTGTGAACTGTCCGAGCAAACATGACCGCAAGCATGTCCATATCTTCTTTCGCGCAGACATGTTCGTGTGCATGTTTGCTTGACTTGTTTATGGTTTCGCATGCTTATTTTCCGGTCACCCCTGTCATGTTTCAGGCCTGGCTTACATGTTTTGATTTCTTGCCCCATTGATTGTTTGGCATGTTTGTTATCGATGTGTGTAAAAGCGCTTGTGTGTAAAACCGTCTGTGTGTAAAAGCGTCTGTGTGTAAAAGTGTTTCTGCGTAAAAGTGTTTGTATGTAAAACCGTCTGTGTGTAAAAGCGTTTGTGTGTAGAAACTTCTGTGTGTAAAAGCGTCTGCGTGTAAAAGCGTCTGTGTGTAAAAGCGTTTGTGTGTAAAAGTGTTTGTGTGTACAAGTGCCTGTGTGTAAAAGCGTCTATGTGTAAAAGCTTCTGTGTGTACAAACGTTTGTGTGTAAAAGCAGCTCCTGTGTGTAAAAGGGTCTGTGTGTAAAAGTGTCTGTGTGTAAAGGCTTCTGTGTGTAAAAGTGTCTGTGTAGAAGCGTCTGTGTGTAAAAGCTTCTGTATGTAAAAGCTTCTGTGTGTAAAAGCTTCTGTATGTAAAAGCTTCTGTGTGTAAAAGCTTCTGTGGGTAAAAGCTTTGTGTGTAAAAGCGTCTGTGTAAAAGCGTCTGTGTGTAAAAGTGTTTGCGATGCAAACTATTGTCTTGCACTTCTCGCTATTTTGTCTTGATACTCCTCTTCTCGACTGCCTATAACACAGCTTTCATATATCGTTTCTAAAATTGCGTCTCCATACTAACGAGAGAAGACCCTGCTCCTCTACGCTCTCGGGCCATCCGTCGTCTAGTACATTATTTGTTATCTTGATTCAAGAGCTATGTGGGCCAGGTTTCTGTAGAGTACAGGCGGACATGATCATATACATAAATCCATGTGGACATTTGTGAACACATTTGCAGTTGCATGTGCATTACATATACATTACATTTATGTATTACATATCTTTCATTTAAGCTTCAAGATCTTGTTTTACGTAAATAAGGTCTTACGGACATAAAATATATGTCCGTAAGATCTTTTTTTACACAAAATCAGATCTTACGGACATTTGCGCATTTGTGAAAAACAATTGTGGAGGCATATGTGACACAGATTGCCCATATATGTTGCAAATAAATGCGGAAGCTATATGTATATACGTATATACCCTCTAGGCCCTCTACAGAGTATAGCTCTTGAACCAAGTTAAATTATTTGGCTTGGTTTTTCAGGTCGGTTTTTGGTGCCAGAAACTTTGCTTGGGTGCAAAAACTTAGGAATTATTCTCCCGCTGAAGAGCTGGACCTTGTGTGGCATTGCCATATTTTGGACACGCGCAACTACGCCGACTTCCAGCAACAGCTGGGGACAGAAATTGGGCATGTGCCATGTGGAGATGAGGAAACAAACGATCTGGCACAGTATCTGGGTTGTTTTTCCTATTTTTCCCAATTTTACCATTCATTATATATATATATATTAGTTCTTTCGTTTTTCATTTATCAATTATTTTCTTATCTTTCTTATCTGTGCGGCAAATCTATTCTTCTGAGTTGTGCTTGGAATGCATGCTATTGTTGTCATGTTTAGAGGGCTTTACTATGCTTGTGGTTGTGGTTTCTTTTTTCTCTAGCATTTGACCCTTGTTTGGTTTTCAAGGACTGAGAGCGTCTTGAATGCGGTGTCATTTCTTTTGGATGCCAAACTTTTGAATACCTTCTTCTCTGAGCGGGGAATGCATAAGAAGAAGGTGTGTAGTCCGTTGTAAAACAGTTCTTTGCTTCGCCAACAACAGGGCAACTTACAAAGCAGTGCTTGCTTCGCCAACAGGGCGACTTACAAAGCACGTGCTTGCTTCGCAAGGTTTCAGGGCTTAAGTAGGAATAGGACATTGCTTCAATAGAGCATTGATGCCAGTGAGCCTTCAAAAACTTGACATCCTGGCACCAATAAGGCACACCACACAAATCTTTTTCACTCCATTTCGCCCCAAAAGTTTGGATCGCTGTGCCATTTACATAGCACTGAGGTTAAGAAGACATGGTTATCAACAAGTTCATGAAGGGCGGTTAATTGCGGTAATGAAAGAGATTTGAGATTGAGAAAGATGTGATGCTGTTGTGATATGTTACTTTGTATGTGTGCTGGTATGTATGCTGGGGGTTGGGATAGTATATTGGCTGGGGGCTGAGGCTTCCCCTTAGGGGGAGACTGTGGTAAATAATCCCATAATCTTCATGATAGATGATTATGAAAATTATGTTGGTTATCCCCATAAATTTGAAGTGATGATTATGAAATTCAAACTCAAAACTACAAGAGGCACACAAACACTTTGAAGCATGAGGAGAATTTGAAGAAGAATGATAGTTAAATTTCATTTTATAAAAGTGAAATTGTCTTTTGTTTTGGTTTGTTGTTATGATTTATGGTATAGACTGTTTTATGGTCTATTGTGTTGTTTAGGTTGTTTTGGTTTTGTTTTGTATTGTTTTGTTGTTATGATTTTATTGTTGATTATGTTATTATCTATAAAGTAAAGCAATCCCATCTTTTTGTTTCGTCCGCTTTAAAATCTATTGTGTTGTAGGGGGTGCGGTCTGTAAAAAGACGGGATTGCCTCATGCTAACTAATATATATATATATAACTTACTTATATATATATATCTATCTTATATATATATTATATTATACTTATATATATATACATACATATATATATATATATATTATGCTTATATATAATGCTTATATATATATGCATATGTGTGTATATGTGTATATTCTAATCATTGATAGTCTATATTTAGTGTCAATATCCATGTGTTAATGATGTTTAACAAACCAAGAAACGGCACTCTGGGGCATTAGCTGCTGCAGGAATGGCGATAAAGCCCGGCGATTTCTGGGACCATGGTAAGACGTCCCAAAAGTTGGAATGTAATCCCTATAACTTATAACTTATAACTGTATGAATATATGTGATAATGAATGATAATGGATGATAATGGATGGTTTTCTCTCAACCACTCCTTAGTGAAACTTCGAATCATTTCAGCAGCTAGTCACCGTTCAACTCGCTGGGACGACTAGCAAACTCGGTGGCATGTTTTCCCGCAAAAAGATGCCAAAAAGGGGATGGTTACCCCCACATGAATAGAGGTTCAAATACCCTCTGGTAAACTAACATAGCATAGCTATTGAAAATGGCCATTTATAGTGGATTTTCCCATTAAAAATGGTGATTTTCCATAGTTATGTTAGTTTACCAGAGGGTACTTACTGTAAGGAATCCCATTCTTGATGGTAGGATGACCGGAAGAATCCATAAGCCGTACATGTTTTCACACAACATATGCTGCCTGTTAGTTTGGGTCACCACGACCCAGACCCAGCACATTGCCGCAAGTTTGAGGACAGGGAGCACCCTGTAGGGGGGACAGGGAGCAGAAATATCCAGCCCAGATAATGGGAATATCCAGCCCAGATAATGGGAATATCCAGCCCAGATAATGGGACTCGTTCAGTTTGAGCTTGGAAGTTTGTGTCATTTTTTAACATTTTCATGTTCTTCCGTAGCTGTTTTGGCAAGTGTTTCCTCAAACCACTCAGGGACGTTTTTTTCTAGTCTCAGGAGTGTCGGCATTTCATAGCATTTCCATGGCGCTCAAATCCGGTGTGTTCGTTTGCCTCATCCTTGCATCGAGCTTGAGCTGCACCGTCATGGCACAGCGCCACACCGGCCTCTGGTCCGAGAACGTCGGCAAGGACAGCGTGACTACGACTTCAGAGCCAGACCAAAACACGCTGAACGTCCAGATTGAGAAGCTGCAAGCATGGAATTTCAGCAAGTATGCCAGTTGCGCAGTGCGACAAAGACCTGCGAGCATGGGAGAGCTCCCAATCAGAGAGGAGGAGTATGTGGTTCTTGCAGAGCGGGCTCTGAAGATTTGGTACGCTGCGATTTTGGCGCAGCCCATGAAGAAACAGAAACTCGACATTTCTATACATTTCTGGCAGTTTTGTCTTTTTACATTATTTGGCTTGGTTTTTCAGGTCGGTTTTTGGTGCCAGAAACTTTGCTTGGGTGCAAAAACTTAGGAATTATTCTCCCGCTGAAGAGCTGGACCTTGTGTGGCATTGCCATATTTTGGACACGCGCAACTACGCCGACTTCCAGCAACAGCTGGGGACAGAAATTGGGCATGTGCCATGTGGAGATGAGGAAACAAACGATCTGGCACAGTATCTGGGTTGTTTTTCCTATTTTTCCCAATTTTACCATTCATTATATATATATATATATTAGTTCTTTCGTTTTTCATTTATTAATTATTTTCTTATCTTTCTTATCTGTGCGGCCAATCTATTCTTCTGAGTTGTGCTTGGAATGCATGCTATTGTTGTCATGTTTAGAGGGCTTTACTATGCTTGTGGTTGTGGTTTCTTTTTTCTCTAGCATTTGACCCTTGTTTGGTTTTCAAGGACTGAGAGCGTCTTGAATGCGGTGTCATTTCTTTTGGATGCCAAACTTTTGAATACCTTCTTCTCTGAGCGGGGCAAGAAGAAGGTGTGTAGTCCGTTGTAAAACAGTTCTTTGCTTCGCCAACAACAGGGCGACTTACAAAGCAGTGTTTGCTTCGCCAACAGGGCGACTTACAAAGCACGTGCTTGCTTCGCCAGCAGGGCGACTTTTGCAAAACAGGGCTCTTGGCTGATGCTTTTATGATTGACAAGGTCTGTAGGTAGCAAGGTTTCAGGGCTTAAGTAGGAATAGGACATTGCTTCAATAGAGCATTGATGCCAGTGAGCCTTCAAAAGCTTGACATCCTGGCACCAATAAGGCACACCACACAAATCTTTTTCACTCCATTTCGCCCCAAAAGTTTGGATCGCTGTGCCATTTACATAGCACTGAGGTTAAGAAGACATGGTTATCAACAAGTTCATGAAGGGCGGTTAATTGCGGTAATGAAAGAGATTTGAGATTGAGAAAGAGGTGATGCTGTTGTGATATGTTACTTTGTATGTGTGCTGGTATGTATGCTGGGGGTTGGGATAGTATATTGGCTGGGGGCTGAGGCTTCCCCTTAGGGGGAGACTGTGGTAAATAATCCCATAATCTTCATGATAGATGATTATGAAAATTATGTTGGTTATCCCCATAAATTTGAAGTGATGATTATGAAATTCAAACTCAAAACTACAAGAGGCACACAAACACTTTGAAGCATGAGGAGAATTTGAAGAAGAATGATAGTTAAATTTCATTTTATAAAAGTGAAATTGTCTTTTGTTTTGGTTTGTTGTTATGATTTATGGTATAGACTGTTTTATGGTCTATTGTGTTGTTTAGGTTGTTTTGGTTTTGTTTTGTATTGTTTTGTTGTTATGATTTTATTGTTGATTATGTTATTATCTATAAAGTAAAGCAATCCCATCTTTTTGTTTCGTCCGCTTTAAAATCTATTGTGTTGTAGGGGGTGCGGTCTGTAAAAAGACGGGATTGCCTCATGCTAACTAATATATATATATATATAACTTACTTATATATATATATATCTATCTTATATATATATATATTATACTTATATATATATACATACATATATATATATATTATGCTTATATATAATGCTTATATATATATAATGCTTATATATATATGCATATGTGTGTATATGTGTATATTATAATCATTGATAGTCTATATTTAGTGTCAATATCCATGTGTTAATGATGTTTAACAAACCAAGAAACGGCACTCTGGGGCATTAGCTGCTGCAGGAATGGCGATAAAGCCCGGTGATTTCTGGGACCACCCAAAGGCTCCGCTATTGAAAAAAATCAATAGCTATTGAAAAAAACAATAGCCTATTGATTCCTTTGAAAAACCAATCGAAAGATCAATAGATTGGTATTTTCTGATTTCAATCGAAAAATCAATAGAAAAGTTGTATTTTTAAAGAAAAATGTTTTTTTTTCAAAATCAATCGAGAAATCAATCGAGAAATCAATCGAGGAATCAATCGTGACAAGTTGTTTTTTAACCTGAAATCTAGCCATCCTATTTATATATAGTGGCAGGATGTATGTACTTGTGGCTGTCCAGCCACCACTTAAATGCAATCTGGCTTTTCAAAGGCTTTGGCTAAACAGCCACCACACTCCAGCAAAAGTGTTGTGGCTATCCAGCCACCACATGAAAGCTTTGTGGCTATCCAGCCACCACAGTCAACTGCAGTCTTTTGGCTATCCAGCCACCACACTCAACAAAAGTCTTTTACATGGCTATCCAGCCACCACATGAAAGCTGCACATTGTGGCAGGGCCTGCCATTTTTCACACTTCTTCATTTTCTTCTAGGTCTGGATTAAAAATCCCTTCCAGCATCAAGTGAAAAGCGTATTCAAATTTGGCTAGAACCTTGGAAGGGAGCATCCATGCAGGTGTGCTTTTCACACTGCTCCCAGCAACTGCCACCATCAGGGACATGAAGCTTTCTCCTCCATATGCCCAGCAGCTCCTTGGTGCCAAGTATTGGCACTGTGCTGGGTAATGAGCCATGAGGTGGTGCTTCTGCACCAGGCTCCACATACATTCTGCACTCTTCATGCTATTCTTTGCCAGCCATGAATAGTGTCCTAGGATTGCCTCAGTCTTCTCTTGAAACTGCTGTCCCACCTTCTTGTCCCAAACATACTCCTTCAAGTCACAAAGGTCATAGGCTTCCTCCATGGCCTTGCACAAAGCTTCCATGTGTTTTCCTTTTGTGTTTGTAGCCAGGGTCCCAGCCAACAGTGTCGCCACAGTGGCAAATTTCCTGACTCTCCTCCCTTTCACATGTTTCAGGCAAGGGAACTCATCACCAAAGATGTCTGACACATTGAGTCTGGGTATTCTTTCCCCTGCTGGGGTTTCAAGTTCCTCATATCTCATGGCCACCATCTTGTTGACTTCCACCAAAGCCCTTTTCTTTCCCATAGGAAGGCTCTTGACGATGGTTGCCAAGAGGTTCCCATAAATGTGGGATGCCACTCCAAGGTCTACAAGGTGCAACAGATCCAATTTCATGCTCCAGAAGGAAGTTCCTGGCACTCCAAATAAGGGATGTGATACTGGTGGTGGTGCTGACACACTCCTCAAAGTAGATTTCCAAGTTGCATCTTTCCTGAAATCTGTAAATGGCCGCACGCTCTTCTCCTCCTCAAAGTAGTTGTCACAAAGGCAATATGGGCATGGGTTGTTGCTCATGGCAGTGGGCCACCCAAAGTCACTGGAGAACCATTCCAAATCTCCTGCCACCACAAACAGAACTCCTTTTCCTGCTTCTGCCATCTTCTTGAAGCTGCCAGCAATTGCTTCCCATATAGGCTTCATCGAAGAAGCAGTTCCTGCACTCTTGGGGAGGCAAGTCAGTAGCAGCTGAGATTGTTTGATGGCCACACCAGAGATTGCGCATCTCATTGACACAACCAGCAATGAATCCACCTCACTGTAAGGGGCACTATCTCCATGGATGAGCCATGGAATTGGCCAGCTGCTCCCACCTCAGGTTGCTATCTTACACACACATAATGGCTATCTTCTGATGGTTTCTTGACATACTAGCAAAAACACAAAAGAAAAAGGCAAAACTTATCCTCAAATTCCAGCATCGAGTTTCCTCTCACTTTCTTCCAGAAAGATTTCCAGCATTGCAGTTGGGGATTGTTTTTCCAATCCTGTTTCAACCAGAACTCCTTCAAAGTTTTCTGGCTGCATGTCAATTCTTGCAAGAGGTTCTTGTTCTGCAGTGTATCCACCCATGCCTCAGGCAATATTACAGGTAAATCTTTCTCTTTCTCCAGCACAAGTCCCTCAGCATTCTTAACTCTGACCACAGTGGCCACCTGCACTGGCTGTGGCGAAGACATGCCACCAAAGAAAGCCCTGACCAAGTCCCTGTGGCAATTTTGCTTGGCAAAACCACTGCCTCCAAGTTTGGCCAGAGTGTGGAGGTCCTGTCCGCTTGCACCACTCATCATTGCTGCAGCAGCATACTGCTGCACTTCACAGGCACTGATTCTCCCCCAGCAAAATTTGTTGAGCAGCATGATTGCCAAAGGGGAGGTGAGCTGCATCTCATCGCCAGGGTCAGGCACATGTTTCCTTTTTTCCCTTGCATATTTGCTATGTTTTCCTTGGGCCTCATGCCTGCATGATCACCACCTGCAAGCAGGGCTGTCCAGCCACTTAAAACTTCATGGCTTTCCAGCCACCACACTCAAAAAGAAACTTGTGGCTATCCAGCCACCACACTCCAAGAAACAAGTCTTTTGGCTATCCAGCCAACAAGAAAATACCTGCCTACTCCTATGGCTATCACTCGCCCATTTTTTCTTCTCACAGAAGCTGCCCATGGAAATCCACAGCAGGTTCATATCTAATTAGGTTCTGGCTGCTCCTCTTTCTTTTCCTGCTTTCCATCTTCAGCAGAGTCAGTAGCAGGCCTTGCAGGGTTCTCCTCCTGTCCTTGCCCTTCTTCTTCTTCTTCTTCAGTCTCCACAACTTCTGGACTAGGTGGTATCAGCACCTGGCTATCTTCATTGGGGTCCAGAACCCAGTGTGCATACCTGGGGTTTGCTGTCTCCTCCCCCTTCACATACAAAATCTTCCTTCTCTTGGCCATGGTGCTGTGATTGCCTTGAACCCAAAAATTCTGGAAGAAGAAGTGGTTACAGGTGCTGAAGCAAGGTTTTATGGCTATCCAGCCATCACACTTGAGATTTAACAAGTTTTCATGGCTATCCAGCCACCACACTCCAAAACAACAATTCTTGTGGCTATCCAGCCACCACTGTTCAACCTCCTGACATTTTCCAGCTTCCCAAGCTCTAGAGCAATCTGCCTCAGTTTGAGGACTTACCTATCCTGCCTCAATTTGAGGACTTCGCTGCTTCAGTCTTCCTCCTCCTCTTCTTTTTTAGCCTTCTTCTTTGGTGGTCCTGCTACCAACTTCTTGCACTTCTTGCTCTTCTCCAAGGCTGCCAAGCTCTCCAACAATGCCTTCTTGCTTTCTTCCTTCTCTATCTTTTTCTGGCAGGTCTGCACTTAGAGCTCAGGATTTTCAATTCAACTTCGCCTCCTGCAAGGCACCTTCATCCTTGCAAAGTTCTGCCTTGAATGCCAGCAGCTTCTTGAGCAAAGTGCTTTTGTTGTCATCCTTGGTCTTGTTCTTCCCACTTGTTCTTCTTCCCACTTGTTCTTCTTCTCCTTGGCCTCTTCCTTTTCCTTCTGTTTCTTCGTATCCTTGTCCTCTTGTTGACAGAGAGCTGCTTATTGAAGAAGTCCTTCAGCTCAGGCTCGATCGCCATGTCATCCAGTTGATTGCCAGCTAAGGCAAAGCTGGCATCCCCAACATCTTCCAAGTTGAGGTTCTCCATGCTGAGCCAGTCATCTTTTCCAGCCTTGTGTTTGTCAGTCTTGTAAGCCACAGTCTGGCTTTTCTTGGCCTTCCACTTGACATATTCACTTTCATCAGCAAACTCGAAGAACCTTGGGTCTGTGGGTGACTTGCGAAACTTCATTGTTCCTGCTTTCAGCCTGCTCATGGCTTCAGCCTTTCCATATTTGTCCACCTGCTGCTTCCATGTGTTGAACTTCACCATGCCTCCCTTCTCATCAGTTTTCTCATAGACCAGCATGGCCTCCTTGTAGTTCTTGGCAATGGACCCTCCATCAAGGATGAAGGACCTCAGCAGCTTGTGCTTCCTCTCCTGGCTTCCAGTTCCTTTGGTGGCTTCCTTGTAGGAGCTCTCAGCTCCAGCCATCTGCCTATTCTTCTCAAACTTCTTCCACAGGCTCTGGACCTCATTTGCAGGGAGTTTGGCAAGGGCCTTGTCAATCTCCTTGGCCGAGCAGAGCTTGGCATCCAGCAGCTGCTGGTGTGTCTTCAGGTTTTTGGATGTGACTGTGTGTACAACTTCATCATCAGTGAGCATTTCTTCCTCCTCCCCTTCCTCACCATTGTCTTTCTCAACTTCCTTCTGCTTTCCCTTCAAAATTCCCTTCTTCCCAGTCTGTGCTGCTGGCTTCTTGAACTTTGCCACCTTTGTCACTTTTGCTGCTGGCTTCTTGGCCACTTTGTTTTCCACCTTGGAGCTAGGCCTCTTCAAACCCATGGCTTCCTCCAGCTAAGTGCGGTTTTTCCCTGGCAGCCAAAAGTGCTGCAGAAGATTTGGGTTCATTCCTTTTTTTTTTAATCTCACTAAAAATCACCAAAATTCACATGTTATCATGTGATAACATGTGATTTCACATGTTTTCACATGTTATCATGTCTTATCATGTCTTATCATGTCTTATCATGTCTTGTCACGTCTTATCATGTCTTATCATGTCTTGTCATGTCTTGCCATGGGTTTTCACATCTTATCATGTGATAACATGTGATTTTTTGCCTTTCTGCACTTCTTTTAGTTTCCAATTTCGCAAATCCAGGATAATTGAATTCCAGAATGCTATAATTTCCCAAACTGCTTTTCCTTGGGCCTGCATTTTTTTAACCACAAGCCATTTCCAAGGCTTTTCCCCTGGATCTTTGGGCCACATTGTTTTACATGCCAGAGCAAGAATAGTTTTCCCAGGTGCCATCACTTGGATCTGTGTGCTTGACTTTCCAACAAGAGAACAGGTGCATAGCTAGGGTGTGTTCTCCCAGATATGCCTTCCTTGGACCTTTGGGCTTGCAATTTTCAATATGCCTTCCTTGGACCTTTGGGCTTGCAATTTTCAATCCCAAAGAATGAAGTCTTCCATTTTTTCCTTGGGCCTTACATTTTTTCACATCCAAGAAGGTGTTACCCAACATGCAAAAGGTATAGTTTTTTCCAGTGTCTTCCTTGGGCCTTAGGACCTGCAATTATTCCAGTCCAAGAGACTGTAGTTATCCCATTTATACCTCTAGGTGTTTCTTCAATGCCTGATGGTGTTTCTTCAATGCCTTCCCTGCAGCCTGATGTGTTCATATTTATTAATTACCTTGTTTTTCCCTAAGCAAGAGTACACACCTCATGGCTATCCAGCCACCATTCAAACACACCTCATTGAAAGTAAATCTCATGGCTATCCAGCCACCACTTTCATTTATTTAGTCTATGGCCACCCAGGCACCAGGACCACACAAGCAACTCCCACATGGCTATCCAGCCACCACTGACCAATCTTTCAAATCCATGGCCATCCAGCCACCACTGCACACCAGCAACTCCCATGGCTACCCAGCCACCACTCAAAAACACATCACTCAAACAAAAAGTCTCATGGCTATCCAGCCACCACTTCCATTTTTTAAGTCCATGGCTATCCAGCCACCACTTCCATTTTTTAAGTCCATGGCTATCCAGCCACCACTTGCATTTTGTAAGTCCATGGCTATCCAGCCACCACCACAAGCTACCAGCCTTTTTTCCATATATTGTTTCTCCAGCATCCTGCATCTGTCATGCAGTCTTTAAAAACTGGCTCACAGCAGCTGTCATCTGCAGCTACTTGCAGTACTGCATCACCCATGACTCGCCATGGTGCTTCGCCAGGAGCTTGAGCAGGTTCTTCTTGCCATTTTTTCTGTTCCCATTGCATTCTGCTTTCATGCAGCCTCTGCATCCTGGCGCTCTCAGCATGTGGTTCTTGTTCACATAGGTGTACTCCTTGCACTCACCACACTGCTTGAAGAGGTTCCAGTGCTCTTCCCAAAAAGATGGGTCCAGGCTCCCATCTTTATACTCAGGCACATTGGACATGAGCTCCTCAGCCACCTTCTCAGCTTCCTTGCTCTCCTCCTCACTGTCTTCCTCTGGAACCCATACCAAGTATCCTCTGGGTCCTGTTCCCATGGCTTCATCTTCTTCCTGGACCTGGTTGTCCATGTAGTCGATCATCTCCTCCAGGAAGGTGTCAAAGGCAGAGGCCATTCCCTTCCCCTGCTTCTCCTCCACATACTTGTGGTAGGCCTTCCTCAGGTGTACTCTCAGGCTGTCCTGGCAACACTGGGACAGCACCTAAGCCTGACCAATCTCATGGCTATCCAGCCACCACATTAAATCCATACAAATCCCATGGCTTTCCAGCCACCAAAAAAAACAGAAATCCCATGGCTACCAGATATTAAATCCCATAATCCTGTAACTATCCAGCCACCAAAAACATGCAAATCCCATGGCTACCCCCCCCAAATTACCCTGCCTCCTTCAGCCATCCCAACTCCATCCTCTCACTCGCTGCCATTCCCAGCCGATCCTGGAATTCATTCCAGGCCATCTCAGGTGCCTTCTGGTGGTGGAGCTGCCTCAGCATCTCTCTGTAGCCCTTGCTCTGTAGCCCACCCTGGCTGGGGTTGAAGTCCTGCAGTTTTCCAGCCATACTGCCACTGCCAGTTGAGCTGGCTGGGCTACCTCCCAGCTTTGCCCTTTTCTCTCCTTCTTTTCCCTTGCCCTTCCCTTCTAAGCTGACCTTCTTCTTGCTTCCTTCCTCCTCTGCTGTGCTGCCTTCCTTCTTGCCTCCTTTTCCTTTTTCTCCACCATTTCCACTGTCTCCTTTTTCTTGTCCTCCACCATTTCCACTTTTTCCTTCTTCTTTTCCTCCAACTCCTTTTCCTCCACCTTTTCCTGGCTCAGTGGCAGCAGCCTGTGCAGGCTGGGCAGGCTGGGCAGCCTGCTGGGTGGCCTGAGGCTGGGCAGCCTGAGGCTGGGTGGCCTGAGTGGCCTGAGGCTGGGTGGCCTGAGTAGCCTGGGGCTGGGTGGCATGGGTAGCCTGGGGCTGGTTGGCCTGGATGGCCTGAGGTTGAGCAGGCTCTGGCACATCCTGGTGCTGTGGAGTCCAGTTCTGACCACTCCAGCCATTCCAGTCTCCACTCCAGCCAGTCCATGTACCCCAGGAGTCAACCCACTGGTTTGCCATGGCTGTCAGGCACTGGAGTCAAGTGTGCAGTTTCTCTTGAGCCACGATGCCACAAAAATCATTCTTTTGCCTGAAGCTAATCCATGGCTATCCAGCCACCACACTAGGCTTAGACAAATTTCATGGCTATCCAGCCACCACACTTCCCTTAAGTTACAAGTCTTGTGGCTATCCAGCCACCACAGACAACCCAGACAAATCTCATGGCTATCCAGCCACCCCACTTCCCTTTACAAGTCTTGTGGCTATCCAGCCGCCACTGACTGATTTGCAAACCCATGGCTATCCAGCCACCACAGACAACCCAGACAAATCTCATGGCTATCCAGCCACCTCTTGACAAATCCCCACCCAACCTTGTGGCTATCCAGCCACCACACTCTAACTCACTAGAGCTTTCTTTTTGTCTTTCCAGCTTCCTTCAGGTGTCTTCCTCACTTTGCCAATTTTTCCTTGGCTGCCAAAACATCAGCTAAGGAGCTACCCTTCTTCAGCATCTCCATGAGCTTCCTTGCAGCCTTGCTGTTCTTCTCGACATTCTTGAAAGTCACCACCTGGAAAAGCTGCCCAACACCCTTTGCCACCACTGCCACAGCAGTTGTCTTCCTATAAGGCATGAGCCTCATCTCAGCTTCCTTGTAGTTGACCTTGTCCTTGTTCACCTTTGCCTTTGCTATCTTACTCTTCTTGTTGATCTCCTTCAAAATCTTGCCTGCAGGCTTCTTGCTCCCAGCTGCAGCAGGCTTCTTCAAGCCCATGGCAGCTTTGAGGTTCTGCTTCCTGGCAGGCACAGGTGACACCTGCAGGGCAGCATCCAACAAGCTGGGGCCATCCTTTCCAGGAGTTCTGGGGACTTCCAAATCTAACAAATCTTGGGTCTCACAGCTTCCTTCCTCATCTTCTTCTCTTGATTCTTCTTCCTTCTTTGCCTTTGACCCTGAAGCACCACTTTTCCCATTTGGCCCTTTATCTGTGTCCACACCAAATGCTGCCCTCAACCCTTCCAGCTTTTCAACTTGCCAGTCACTGAGGGTACTGCAAGCCTCTTGAAACTTCTGGGGCACTCTCAGTCTTCGCATGTGTGTGCACATGGTCATGGTTGATTCAGCCAACTTCCCACCCAGTGTTGACCTCATCTCCAAATCAAAGCTTTCCTTCAAGCCAGGGAAAGCTCTGCACACTTGGGTGAACCCTTCTTTCAAATCCTTGTAGTTGAAAAGGAGCCCATCACTCACTGCCATCAACTTCAACAAGAAGTCTTCCTGAGCTAGTAGGGCTCCAGCATTGATAGCTTGTGCCTTGCTGATGCTCAGATACTTGCCAAACTGAAAAGCCTGGGAGTGCCCCACCTCCTTCAGGAGGTCCTCCAGGTGCTCCATATCTATGGTGGGTGTTGCTTGCCTTCTGCAGCCTCCTTTGCCCATGGTGATGTCAGGCACTGGAGTCAAGTGCAAAGTTGCTCTTGAGCCAGCATGCCACAGAAATCATTCATTTGTCTGAAACTAATCCATGGCTATCCAGCCACCACACTAAGCTTAGAAAATTTCATGGCTATCCAGCCACCACACTCTCCTTTACAAGTCTTGTGGCTATCCAGCCACCACTGACTAATGGGCAAATCCATGGCTATCCAGCCACCTTATTTAAAGCAACCCTCACATGTGGCTAAAGCAACCCTCTCATGTGGCTTATATCCAGCCACCAGAGTCAGCCCTAACATGTGGCTATCCAGCCACCAGATGTATCTAAAATTCAATCGAGAAATCAATAGAAAGATCAATCGAGAGATCAATAGAAACTTGTCTTTTTTTCAAGGAAAAATGCTTTTCAAAAATCAATCGGAAATTCAATCTTTAAATTTTCAAAGAAAGCAGAATCTATTGAAAAAAAGCTGTTTTCAATCGAAGATTGATTTTGCTAAAAAATCAATCGTCCTATTGATTTTTTTCAATAGAGGAGCCTTTGGGCATGGTAAGACGTCCCAAAAGTTGGAATGTAATCCCTATAACTTATAACTTATAACTGTATGAATATATGTGATAATGAATGATAATGGATGATAATGGATGATCATAGATGGTTTTCTCTCAACCACTCCTTAGTGAAACTTCCTCAGAATCATGTCAGCAACCGGCTCACCGTTCAACTCGCTGGGACGACTAGCAAACTCGGTGGCATGTTTTCCCGCAAAAAGATGCCAAAAAGGGGATGGTTATCCCCACATGAATAGAGGTTCAAATACCCTCTGGTAAACTAACATAGCTATTGAAAATGGCCATTTATAGTGGATTTTCCCATTAACAATGGTGATTTTCCATAGTTATGTTAGTTTACCAGAGGGTACTTACTGTAAGGAATCCCATTCTTGATGGTAGGATGACCGGAAGAATCCATAAGCCGTACATGTTTTCACACAACATATGCTGCCTGTTAGTTTGGGTCACCACGACCCAGACCCAGCACATTGCCGCAAGTTTGGGGACAGGGAGCACCGGGACAGTTTGGCACAAAATGATTTAAAATCCCTCTTAACCACCCAATCTGTAGGGGGGACAGGGAGCAGAAATATCCAGCCCAGATAATGGGAATATCCAGCCCAGATAATGGGAATATCCAGCCCAGATAATGGGACTCGTTCAGTTTGAGCTTGGAAGTTTGTGTCATTTTTTTAACATTTTCATGTTCTTCCGTAGCTGTTTTGGCAAGTGTTTCCTCAAACCACTCAGGGACGTTTTTTTCTAGTCTCAGGAGTGTCGGCATTTCATAGCATTTCCATGGCGCTCAAATCCGGTGTGTTCGTTTGCCTCATCCTTGCATCGAGCTTGAGCTGCACCGTCATGGCACAGCGCCACACCGGCCTCTGGTCCGAGAACGTCGGCAAGGACAGCGTGACTACGACTTCAGAGCCAGACCAAAACACGCTGAACGTCCAGATTGAGAAGCTGCAAGCATGGAATTTCAGCAAGTATGCCAGTTGCGCAGTGCGACAAAGACCTGCGAGCATGGGAGAGCTCCCAATCAGAGAGGAGGAGTATGTGGTTCTTGCAGAGCGGGCTCTGAAGATTTGGTACGCTGCGATTTTGGCGCAGCCCATGAAGAAACAGAAACTCGACATTTCTATACATTTCTGGCAGTTTTGTCTTTTTACATTATTTGGCTTGGTTTTTCAGGTCGGTTTTTGGTGCCAGAAACTTTGCTTGGGTGCAAAAACTTAGGAATTATTCTCCCGCTGAAGAGCTGGACCTTGTGTGGCATTGCCATATTTTGGACACGCGCAACTACGCCGACTTCCAGCAACAGCTGGGGACAGAAATTGGGCATGTGCCATGTGGAGATGAGGAAACAAACGATCTGGCACAGTATCTGGGTTGTTTTTCCTATTTTTCCCAATTTTACCATTTATATATATATATATATATTAGTTCTTTCGTTTTTCATTTATTAATTATTTTCTTATCTTTCTTATCTGTGCGGCCAATCTATTCTTCTGAGTTGTGCTTGGAATGCATGCTATTGTTGTCATGTTTAGAGGGCTTTACTATGCTTGTGGTTGTGGTTTCTTTTTTCTCTAGCATTTGACCCTTGTTTGGTTTTCAAGGACTGAGAGCGTCTTGAATGCGGTGTCATTTCTTTTGGATGCCAAACTTTTGAATACCTTCTTCTCTGAGCGGGGCAAGAAGAAGGTGTGTAGTCCGTTGTAAAACAGTTCTTTGCTTCGCCAACAACAGGGCGACTTACAAAGCAGTGTTTGCTTCGCCAACAGGGCGACTTACAAAGCACGTGCTTGCTTCGCCAGCAGGGCGACTTTTGCAAAACAGGGCTCTTGGCTGATGCTTTTATGATTGACAAGGTCTGTAGGTAGCAAGGTTTCAGGGCTTAAGTAGGAATAGGACATTGCTTCAATAGAGCATTGATGCCAGTGAGCCTTCAAAAGCTTGACATCCTGGCACCAATAAGGCACACCACACAAATCTTTTTCACTCCATTTCGCCCCAAAAGTTTGGATCGCTGTGCCATTTACATAGCACTGAGGTTAAGAAGACATGGTTATCAACAAGTTCATGAAGGGCGGTTAATTGCGGTAATGAAAGAGATTTGAGATTGAGAAAGAGGTGATGCTGTTGTGATATGTTACTTTGTATGTGTGCTGGTATGTATGCTGGGGGTTGGGATAGTATATTGGCTGGGGGCTGAGGCTTCCCCTTAGGGGGAGACTGTGGTAAATAATCCCATAATCTTCATGATAGATGATTATGAAAATTATGTTGGTTATCCCCATAAATTTGAAGTGATGATTATGAAATTCAAACTCAAAATTACAAGAGGCACACAAACACTTTGAAGCATGAGGAGAATTTGAAGAAGAATGATAGTTAAATTTCATTTTATAAAAGTGAAATTGTCTTTTGTTTTGGTTTGTTGTTATGATTTATGGTATAGACTGTTTTATGGTCTATTGTATTGTTTAGGTTGTTTTGGTTTTGTTTTGTATTGTTTTGTTGTCATGATTTTATTGTTGATTATGTTATTATCTATAAGGTAAAGCAATCCCATCTTTTTGTTTCGACCGCTTTAAAATCTATTGTATTGTAGGGGGTGCGGTCTGTACCTCATGCTAACTAATATATATATATATAACTTACTTATATATATACATATATATATATATATTATATTATACTTATATATATATATATTATGCTTATATATATATAATGCTTATATATATATATGCATATGTGTGTATATGTGTATATTATAATCATTGATAGTCTATATTTAGTGTCAATATCCATGTGTTAATGATGTTTAACAAACCAAGAAACGGCACTCTGGGGCATTAGCTGCTGCAGGAATGGCGATAAAGCCCGGTGATTTCTGGGACCATGGTAAGACGTCCCAAAAGTTGGAATGTAATCCCTATAACTTATAACTGTATGATTACTGTATATATATATTTATATATATATATATATGAATATATGTGATAATGGATGATAATGGATGATCATAGATGGTTTTCTCTCAACCACTCCTTAGTGAAACTTCCTCAGAATCATTTCAGCAACCGGCTCACCGTTCAACTCGCTGGGACGACTTAGCAAAACGACTGGCATGTTTTCCCGCAAAAAGATGCCAAAAAGGGGATGGTTATCCCCACATGAATAGAGGTTCAAATACCCTCTGGTAAACTAACATAGCTATTGAAAATGGCCATTTATAGTGGATTTTCCCATTAACAATGGTGATTTTCCATAGTTATGTTAGTTTACCAGAGGGTACTTACTGTAAGGAATCCCATTCTTGATGGTAGGATGACCGGAAGAATCCATAAGCCGTACATGTTTTCACACAACATATGCTGCCTGTTAGTTTGGGTCACCACGACCCAGACCCAGCACATTGCCGCAAGTTGATGGCGGAATATGGCCGACCCATTTTTGAATTTATCTTTTACGACCAAGAAAAAAACACATTATTTTTGATGGTTGACATCTGTTATCTCCCCGATCTCTGGCTGGTTAAACCTATAATTCTTGCTGGATTGGGTGGAGGGAGAATCTCAACCGGAAAAGCAGTATTTTTCCCATTTATTTAATGGGCTTTAAAGCAGTATTTTTTCCCCTAAACCAATCCATTGAATAATATGATTCACCCATCTATATGATATTGGTATTTCCTGAAATGGGCGTACCCCTAAATCATCCATTTATGGATTTTCCATTATAAATCAACCAGCGTTTTTGGGGTACCCCACCATGACTATGGTTTCACCTCCTGATATGATTCAGCCATTTCCAGCAGCTCGTGCACCAAACCGCCTAGGTTTTGCCAATGGCTTCTGAAAGAAAATCCATTGGACTTCTCCGAAACGACCTTCGCAGCCTACGTGGCGCAGTTGATGCGGGAAGCGGGCACCGCCAAAGACCCTTGGAACGCCTTTAAAGGAATTATAGCAATAGCATGCAATAACTGCAATAGCTACATGTTAACCTTGGATTAGCGGCTATGGTAGTAAAATTGTTTAAGATATTTTGACCATCAAAATTGATGAAACATGGAGCTTTAACTCAGAGAATGTAAGATAAAAACATCAAACACAGGGATAAACCAAGTGGGGATTCAGTACGAACTAATCTATGCCATGTTGATGAAGGCATATCAACAGACTCAAGTTTTTTTGGGGTATCTTGACTATGGGGAAGACCGACCCAGGGAGAGACATCAAACTCCGAAAGGTCGCGGTGATAGAGACTTAAGTTAAGTTAACGAGTCTCACGTCACTTCTGTAGCTTTTTGTTGGTGCATGTTGTTTTCTTTTTGGAGAATGTGTTCTAGGGCTGGACACCTTTTTTGGGGCCATGAATATGTTTACCAGCCTTGTTTCCAGATCTCAGGGACCTCATGGGACTAGTCGACTAGTCCCTCCAACAAATGAGACATACCGGTGTAGTCGCAGGGATTTAAAGCATTTGTATAGCATTTGTCCATCCTAATAAAGTTGGATGAAGCACATATGTATGCATATATATACATATATATAGATATACATATGTATGAACAGATTGGATTATGATACTGACTTTCCATGGCTTTCGAATCGTTTCAGCAGACTTGAAAACATCCAATCACATTGACGCCTTGTTGTGGCCCCCTCTGAAAACCACTGCCTCGTCCCCAATGCTTGATGACTAATATGTCGGTTTCCTGAAATGGGGGTACCCCAATAGCTGGATGGTTTATAATAGAAAATCCATCTATAAATGGATGATTTGGGGGTACCATCATTTTAGGAAACCTATATATATATACATATGTGTGAATAGATTAAATAGATTCTAAATAGGATATGGATGTGCTCGGTTTTACCAATGTTGACGCACGCTCCTGCGTCCATTCTCATGATGTTCCGAGGACAAAGCAGACTTGTGTGTCGATGAGATTCAGGTCAGACAAGACGGCGTGTGGCTCGGCAGTCGATCTGTCGAATCGAAACAACTTGGAACATCTTTGGATGTGGATTTGTCCATAAATTGGGTATACCCCTCAAAAATCGATTCTGATAGGATACTGAGATAACATATGATAGAATGAGATTATATAATTCATATAATTGCCGCATTTGGGAAGTACCCTAGTTTCAGACCGACCCACATGCAGCCGACATGGGGCTGCTACAGAAGGTAAATGTGATATCTTTCATGAACTAGATGAAGAGGATGTCATCAAACAATATCAAACATATATGGGTATGGGTCAATACCTATAGATATACATTATTAGTGGGATGAACATCCATTTACCAGCTATTTTGGGGTTCACTAGGTACCAGGGTTTTGACCCATCCCATATACCCTCTGGTTCTTTAACATAGACCCGACGATATCCATTTTTCTAGTAGAACGCATCTTCCAACCCCCCGACTCATGGCAGGGTCTATTTCCAAAGCCCATGGTTTCCCGTTCGGAAAATGATCGACGTTTCTGTGGGTTTTCCAGACCTATCGCAAAGTTTGTGGGAGGGTCACGTATTTGCTGGGTGTGAGTGTTCATTTGGATGTGGGTCAAAATGGAAGACCTAGGGGACCACAGATGTTAGTCTAGTTTAGTATTAACCATCCAATTATTGGGGTACCTAATTTTGACCCATACCCATTTCTGTCGGATGATGATCTCAATTGAGCTGCATTTGCATATGTTCTCTTGTTTTTTTTTGTGGTGTCTTCAACTAATACACCCCATGGATTTGACATAGAACCAAACAAAGAATGTGGTCTGGCAAATGAGGTTGCTATTCAATCTGGCTGATTTGGAGTGTCATTTCAAATTTGCTTGGATGCGCATCCCAGTCAGTCGTTTACAACCCATATTACAAGTAGAAATGCTATACCACAATCTAACGGGCTTAATGTGATAAAGCCAACAATAAACCATCCCCAAATCATCACCATCTTCTAAATCCCCATGGTATGTTTCTTCGGTTGCCTCGGATGGCCCCTGTCATACCAGGTATTTCCGGCTCAAGAGCGGCCAAATGCGCTTCGAGACCACGGCCTTCCGAACGGACTTCCGGCGGACTTATCCAGTCGCGTGGATGGAAGAAATCCTGCACCACCTTGGATGGTTGAAACCCTGTAAATGTTGGGATAAACCATCATCTACCAACTGGTGCAGGATTTCTTCCACCGCAGGGTATCCCAAAATGCGCTAGTTCATCATCTATATAGTAAACGGGGTTGTCTAAAAATACCCACAGGCACCGTGTGTTGCCCAGACCCACAACTATGATGTTAGATGATGTTAGATGATGTTAGATGATGTTGGATGATGTTGGATGATGTTGGATGATGATGATGATGATGATGATGATGACCGCGATTGCATCACTTGGCAAGCAGCCAGTGCCCAGTACAACTTGCGAACCCAGTATAGGCTGGGTGCGGCAATCAAGAAATAGATCATAACATATTAAGATATCCTGAGGGATTAAAATCTGCCACCCCCTCGGAACTAATAAAATTAGGAATAGCATGAAACTTGATCTTCATGTCATCATGAGGGATTAAAATCCGCCACCCCCTTGAACTCTATATTGAAATGGGAAATAACATGTAAGATATCTTCATATCATCATGAGGAATTGAAATCTGCCACCCCCTTGAACTATATATTGAAATGGGAAATAACATGGCAGATATCTTCATACCATCATGAGGGATTAAAATCTGCCACCCCCTTGAACTCTATATCGAAATGGGTAATAACATGTCAGATATCTTCATAGCATCGTGAGGGATTAAAATCTGCTACCGCCTTGACAGAACTCTATTTTGAAATTGGAAATAACATGTAAGAAATCTTCATATCATCATGAGGAATTGAAATCCGCCACCCCCTTGAACTATTTATTGAAATGGGAAATAACATGTCAGATATCGTCATATCATCATGAGGGATTAAAATCTGCCACCCCCTTGAACTCTATATTGAAATGGGAAATAACATGTAAGATATCTTCATAAAACTGCCGGGAACGTCCCTGTAAATCTCCGGGCAACACACAGCGCCTGGCCGTAAACATAGGGTATCTTAATATGCACATTTGCATCAGTTTGCCCATTCAATGGCCATAATTGGGGGCCATACATCATTTTCAGAGATAGCGACATTGACATATAATGTTCGGGGTGTGCTACATAATCGTTGAGGGCTAGTAAGTTTAGGGGTTAGGAGAAAAGAGTTGCTTTATAGTAGTAAGACTCAAAGAATTCCAGCCACAAAAGCGGGTAATCATAAGGCATCATGAAGGGACTGATGCTGAGAAAGCCAACGACAACCCATTATGAGGAGTGGAGCGAAGCTCCACAGCAGAGAACCTCGTGAAAGAGGGACTCTTGCAGCAAACAACTAAATTTAAAAATATTTATTTGAGATCCACAAATTAGTTTAAGGCCCAATAGCAGTGGCTTATCATTAGCAATGGTTTTTATTGAACTATCATTGAGCATACCCCGATTTTTTCACAATGAATCTCACAGACCTCTCTTACAGATGATAATTGTGGATGGTTTTCTGAGGCATTCGGGATCCGGCCGAGTTCAAGGTCCAAGGATCAACTTCTATTGGACATCATAGCTAGTTTCAGCCAGCTTGGCCACAATGCTATAGCAACCCCCGCAAAAGATACGGTAAGCTCATTTGCCAGGAGTTTGGAAATGAATTTACTGTTTTTTTTTCGGTTTCCTTAATATCGATACTTTGCCTATAACTACAACTAGACTATAACTATACCTATACCTATTATAATTATGCTAAAACTACAACTACAACAAAAACACAAACTACAACTATGACTATAACTAGACTATAACCAGAACTACAATTATAACTATAACTACAAATATACCTATAATTATAACTACAGCTATAACTAAAACTACAACTATAACTATAACTTTATAACTGTAACTACAACTATAACTATAACTAGACTATAACTATAACCATAACACGACTATAACTACAACTATAACTACAAACTACAGCTATAGCTATAACTACAACTATAATTATAACTACAACTAGACTATGTACAACTATAACTATAACTACAACTATAACTATAACTAGACTATAACTATAACTATAACTAGACTATAACTATAAATAGAAATATATAACCATAATTATAACTACAACTATAACTATTACTATAACTATAGCTATACTATAACTATAACTAGACTATACCTACAACTATAAGTATCACTACAACTATAATTATAACAATACTATAAGTATCACTACAACTATAATTATAACAATACTATAAGTATAACTACAACTATAATTATCACAAGACTATAACTATACCTATAACTATTACTACAACTAGACTATAATTATAACGATGTAACCATAACCATAACTATAACTATATAATTTCCCGACTCCGCGCGGAATCGGAACCCGGAGGAGTACAAAGGTACGGTATTTTACCGTACTTTTGTACTCCTGGCTCCGTTCTATAATTCTGGCACCACCTGTACAACTATAACTATAACTACAACTATAACTATAACTATAACTAGACTATAATACTATAACTATACCTATAACTAGACTATAACTATAAATAGAAATACATAACCATAATTATAACTACAACTATAGCTATTACTATAACTATAGCTATACTATAACTATAACTAGACTATACCTACAACTATAAGTATCACTACAACTATAATTATAACAATACTATGAGTATCACTACAACTATAATTATAACAATACTATAAGTATCACTACAACTATGTCTTTATCACTTGGGCATGTGAGCATCTTTTGTCCACAAGCAATCTTTGGGTCAAGCAGCCCATGCGGGCCTGGTTACCCCAGGTCTTGTCTGAGTTAAGGTGGTGGTCCGGTTCGAGTGATTGCGCCATAGGCCTGCCCTTGCTTTTGCTCAGCTGCATTTGCAGTTGGGGACTAGGCCTCTTCACTGGGGCTGCCATTGCGGTGCTGATTCTTTCTCCTAGCTGCCGGCGGCTGGTGATCCTGGTTTTGCAAGGGGCCATAGCGCTGCTGGGGCCTGTTCAGCATTTAGTACCTGGACCTGTGCCTGGTGCGGCAGACTGGAGAGTGCGTTTGCAAGGGTACCGGAACCAGTAGCATATGGGCAGTGAGGCTGACCCAGATACTGAAGTTTCTGAGATTTCTTTGCAATTGAGTGATCTGGTCATCACTGTCAGACGTAGACCAGGGAGTTCTAGTTCTATCGTAGGCCACTCTCCTTCTAGAGTATCCCTTGCTGGGTCCTTCGGGCCCCCGGGCACCAGTCCTTCTCCATCTAGGAGTAGTACCAGGCCCCAGACTGATTCTCAGCTAGCAGCGTGGACTTCTGAGTGGTGAGTGGCTTTGCTCAGCGCTACGACCGCTGAGGAATTGCTTGGCTTGGATCTTAGTCCGGTTGAACGGCTTGGATCCCAGTTGACTCACTGCGTGGCGGGTTGGTCTCCACGAGCCAGACTGGCTCGCGCATTACGGGCTGGTGTGTCTGCAAATTCTGCGCTGGAAAGGGATCAAGGCTCAGTGGTTACTTCACCTGATTTGGGGTTGCCTGCTCGGCTCTACGTAGTGCTTAGGGCAGCTCCTCCCCATTCTCCTGGCTGGACATCTTCATTTGCTGTTTATCGCCTGAAAGTGCAAGGCTCCTCAACGAGTCGTTTTCATCCTGTGTCTGTGAGCCACGGGTTCCCTTCCCGAGCGGAAGCTGAAGCCTATTTGTGCGGTGCTGGTGTGGGATGGCCACATCAGTACGGAACTCAGAATTGACTGAAGAGGCTGTGAGGGCCCTTGTGACTGGGGCCCTTGAGGGGCAGCTTGCTCCTGTCCTCTTCACTGCAGGCGAGACAAAGTACCAAGTTTTTCTGGTGAGATGCCGGGCTGGAGGTTTTCTTTTTGTGGCACCTGCGAGCGAAGACTTGCAGATCTATTTGGAAGAGAACCCTCTTGTGTTTGCTTTTCATCAGTGCGACATAGATGTTTTGCCTTCCAGTGGACGCACAGCGGTTTCTCATGCAGCCTTTCTGGTGGACGTCAGCTGGGACAACGTAGGGATGTTTTCACGTTTTGCTCAACTACGAGGCGAGGCTGCCCGGGCACTGGTGAGGTTTATTCCTGCAGGGAGCAAGCCGGTTGCAGCGTCAGTGCACGTTGTAGCCGACGAGTGGATCACTGCCACCATGGCGGAAGATACAGCTGCAGAGTATGTGACTGGAGAAGAAGAGGGGTTCATCGATGGGTTTCCGGCAGACGATGCGGAGTTGGGCCTCGCAGCAAATGGAGCACCGGATCCAGAAGTGGTGCAGCAGCTGCAAGCTCGGGTCCTTGAGCTGGAGGGCGCTCTTCGTCAGCAGCGACCGCATCCGCCTGGGCCGCTGCTGGCACCGCCAGCAGGTTCTGGTCTTCTGGGTGCAGCTCCAGCCACAGTGCAGCCCTCAGTGATGGATCGGCTTCGCTCCCTGGCCGGGCCTGCTCCACACAGGTTAGCCGCTCACGAACGAGCTGCTCCCCTGAGCATCGCCTTTTGATTACAATCAATTAGCCCCTATGTTTTTCTAATTGATTTTTTTTTGAGAAGGTAAAATCAAAAGGAGAAAATCAAAAGGAGAAATTGGATTTTTCGAAAATTCCTTTTTGATTTTGCTTGTTTTCGTTGATGGTTTTTCTTTTGATTTTTGCTGCTCAAAAGAAAAGCCTTTGGGAAAGGGGTCAAAGCCCACAAAACCTTTGGGAAAGGGTTTGAATTCAGCACCAGAATAATTGCAAAAGGATTCAAATGTAAACTGTACAGAACCCAGCAGGCCCAAAAGGGGCCAGCTGAACAAACCAAACAAATAATGAATCAGAAAAAAATAAAATATCAATAAAAATACAAATGAAAAGACTTTTTAAAAAAATGGCAACCCACTAACAGGCCTTTGGGAAAGGGCCTCAAGAAACTCAAAGCCTTTGGGAAAGGGCTCAAAAAAATCTTTGGAAAAAGGGCTTGAAACTTTT